AGCGCTCCAAGTTATGCATGTTTATCATTGGTTGTCTTTGACTTAAATTGGAAATCATCATCGTGCCTACATAATAAACTAAATAACCGTGATAATAATCCGGATTTCAGCGGTAAAAGCGGCGGATAAATACTCGATTATGAAAAAATTTACTTATTATTATTAGACGACTAATAACGCCCCCGGTCGACGACGTGCAAAAAAAAAGAATTGCATGACTAAAATGACGAAAAAGAGAAAGGTCAGCACGACCTCAGCTCATTCTTACGAAACACGAAGCACAACCCGACAACCACCTGTCTCCAGGGATATGTCTGACGTCCAACCACTTGTTCCACTTCAGGTAGATATTACTTGCTATTACTATTACTATTACTATGTAGAATCTATTGCTTGCAATTATATGATGTTTTCTTGCATGTTTGTAGGAATCTAAAAGCTTATCCTCTGCTGTGGCAAGACCTTCCATCAATCAGGTTAACCAATGGTGCATTGATGAGGTCATCCAGTATCTGCAAGGCATTTATCCTAATATCAGTGAGAAGACAGTCAGAATCTTGGAAGAAAATGAGGTTGATGGATACACATTTCTTAATCTTACGAAGGAGGAACTTGTGAACTACCCTTACAACATGGCAGGTGGACCAGCATTTAGAATCAGTAAACATGTCCAAGAATTCAAAGGTATGCAATTTTTTGAGAATCACACTGTTTATGTGATATGGTGTTGGGACATAGAGTGTAATGAATATAGAATATGCAAAACTATCTGCATACTGCATCCTTATTATTATTTTGTTTTATCATAATTAATAATCTAAAGATGTTTTTATCAACCAAAAATTAAGTTATATACCGACTTTTTTTCCTGATTTAGATTTCTTTTTTAACGGAGGCTTTTCCTCATGAAATCTAACTCGCTTTGTTTGATTTCGTTCATCTTCCTAAAGGATTAAATGATAAAATAATTAGTTCCATGAATTTTCAACTTCTAGATAAAAAAGCATTTCTATACCTCCTCTTTATCTCTTTTGCTAGACACAATTGTTCCGCCGTTGCCATCCCCTATATTGGTTATATTCCCATCCCCATGAACGGTCGCAACTATCGGCTGGTTAATATGAACTTGCTTTCGTGATCGTTCCTGATCCCAATCTCTTGCTCGTCGACGATCGGTTTTAGGTTCCTAGAAAAATTTAGGAAATTAGCACCATTCTCGATCTAATAAACCTTCAATAATCCAATACCCTATCCCACCAGAACATCAGGCAACCAAGTAGGTCACCTGTGCCCAGTGGGTCCAGTGTCAGATCGGCAAGTAGCCTTTGAACATCAGGCAACCAAGTAGGTCACTTGTGCCCTGACACCAGTTTTGTGGCTCGGCAATTAGCCTTGAATGACAAGCAACCAAGTAGGTTCGTGTCACGCCACTGAGACTGTTGTGAAAGCTCCTGCGAGAGTAGAAACAAGTTTCTACGGTAGTAGCAGAGTAGGACTTCAACAAAAAGTATTTTCTACCTTCTACACGGCATTGTGAAGTTTCTGCGACAGTCTCCCCCACTCATTCACAAAAAAAAAGTTTACTTGCCAATCTATAATTATCAAGGAGCTTTTTTGCTGTTTCCTTCCTCACACCATGTTCACTTTCGATAGTATAGAGACATTTAAGCCAACAATCTATTTTCCTCTGAAATGGTTCCAGGTCGCACTCGTTCAGAAACCCAATGATATCCCATTTTGAGGATTTACGATCGAAATATTCATATTCTTTGCTTTCCGACTGGTTATTAATCACAACCAAGCCTCCGCCGGGTGACACATTTCCCAGAAAAATGTAACACAGCCGATGTGACAAAATTTTGAGGTCACGTGGGGTGGAAAAAGCGACGGAATGAATATTCCAAAGCCCAAATTGTTGGAGAAAACTTTATTAATGGATTTTCAGATACAATACATAGCGAATTAAGAAATTTCGAACCTATAGTATAATTACGAAAGTATTAGCAACTGAGGTAAAAAAATAATGCAATAACGATTTACACTTACCATCACGATTCATTTTCACATAATTCTATTCCGCCTCATCGTTATCGCCGGTACGATACTGCGCAAAGTTTTAAGAATTTGGTACGTGAAGGTGCTTATAAATTGATGCACTGCGCCAGACTTTTGCTGTGCCGTCGCATGTGACGAGATTCATGTGAGTAATTTCACTGCGTCCATTGTACGCGTGATGATGGTCAGTGATTTTCTCGGCAAAGATCAAAATGCCGATATAAGAAAAGTAATATGTCCGTTTTATTTTGGGACATCTATAGAGCCAGAAAAATTGATTAACATCGTCGAGCAATAAAACAAGCCTACCCTAATATAACTTTGCGGAAAATGAGAGTTCGTTTTGATTGTTGATTTCGATAATGTTAATAATTTTAAGTTTTATTTTTCGTTTGATTTTTGCTTTAGTTGCGCAAGACAGATAAAAGAGTTCACTAACCGGGACATCACCTTTTTATATGATTCGCAGGATCGATTTTAGAATACGCTTTTAGAGCAAATTACGTTAATATGATTACATCACGAAAATCTGATCATCGGCCTCTCCTTAATTTAACAATAGTATATAAAGATCATCAGGGAGAGTTTTTATTAATAAATTTCATTGAGTACATGCGGGAAAGTTCGAGAACAAATGCTATACTACGGTTATAAATAAGTTATAACTGATACTGCGATCTATACAAAAAATAAATTACAAGAATCGAGAGCTAATCTGTGATATATGACAAGGATTATCCTATACGTTGTACTAATACAATATCCTATCATTAATTCCATAATCTGTTTCATTTGTGCCTTCGTGATCCCCAAAAAATCCCAGAACCAAAAATACCATTAGCTTGCAATCCTGAGTCGCTTCATTGAAATGCATAGTCACAACTGGAGTACTCCCACCTTAATTGCGCAATGTTTCGTACGAATTTTTTTTTCACCGACACTTTTTTCATATTGCAGTACGATACCCTATTTTTGTATTTGCAAATGAATGCATATCATACTGCGCATTTCAGGTGATCGATCCACATGACAGGTCTAAGCCACAATCGCGAACCTGAATTTATTGCTTGAAGTGAAGCTTGTCTGAAATTAGCTGGAGATTGTCGAATACCTGATTACCCGCTCTATTCTTCTATAGTTAGAATAATACGCATCCTGCGATATTATTTAATGATGTATAATATAACCGAAAAAAATAACTAATAATTAATTATCTGTCTAAAGCCCTTGCCACGATCGATGTAATCCTTGATCAATGGCTCGAGCGAGACTATTTAATAAATTAATTCGTTCTGGGTTAGTTGGACCCGTCACTTCTCTGATATAATCCCTGAATGTAGAAATTGAAATAAGTGGAGGTAAATCAGAAACCGAGAAATCATTATCGGAATAATCAGGATATTCGATTTTAATTTTAGGATTAAGTTTTTTCATCACTCCTTCGCTAATCCCTTTACACCCCTCCAAACTAAGATATTTCAAATTAGTACAGTTGCGGGCTATTTCCTCGACAGCTTTATTACTAATCGAACAATCACCAAGCTCAATATGTCTAAGTTTTGGGCATGAGCGAGTAATTTCAGTGATACATCGATCGGTAAGACATTTACACGAATTAAGACTCAGATGTTGTAGTTTCGGAGAAAATCTCG